CAACCGATCTTTTCGTCTAATTTGCAATCTCTTCCTTTAAATATCTGCTTTTGAGATCATTTTTAATCAACATTCTTCCAAATATTAACCTATATTTATTGCAATAAGTCAAGAGATATATGTATTTTGGGAAAATAAAAAAAAATTAATGTAGAAATTAATAAAAACGTGATCGCATTCTATAATAATGAAAATGTGTGATCAAATTGCTTTCTAATATTTGTGGAATAAGACAGTAAAATATAAAGATTTTAATAAAAACAAAAATTTTTATGCTTTACATCTCGCGATTATGACCTTGGAGCCTCCTGGGAATTCTTGAAACTTTTAGAATTTGATTGGTAAAAAACACGCTGAAATTTGTAGAAATTGCTAGATCTTTAATTGATAAACAAAATGTTGATCAACTTCGCGAATTCCTCATGGAAACTGCTAAATCTTAATTGGTTAACAAAGAACAATTTTGTAAATTAATTTGTCAATTCCTTTTGGAAACTTATGAAAACTTTTAGTTTTGATTATAAACTATGATCTTATTATAATGGAAATTACAAATTTCTGAATTTTAATTGAAAGGTGTTAATAAATAATTAAATTTTATTGCGATCTTTCATGAGAATTCTTAGAAATTATGAATTTTAACTGATAAACAAAATGATAATCACGATTCTTTTGGAAAAAAACGCGACGTTAAACCACGTGACTGATCATCGAGAAGGTAGAGAAACCTGTTCCCGGTGGAAAAAGATTGTGATAAAGAATTAAGAATTATATAATTTGTACTAGCTAAGCCTTATTCTTCCGATTTTTCTTGAAGGCATAGTCTCCTTAGCCAATGTGAATAAAAAAGATGTATAAAAGTAGAAGCTAAAGTTAATAAAAGGGCGAATTCAATAGCTTATCGTTACGCAAATCACCTTTTATTTGTGTAATAGCAAACTTCTAATATAAATCAGATCTCAACCGTTCATTTATTGTACATATTCAGGATGCATTATGTTTATGTACTTGAATGTGAAAATGGCAAGTATTATGTTGGCAGTACTAATAACATGATGAACAGATATAACGAACATACAAGTGGAGGAGACCGTTCTGCCACGTGGACACGCAAATACCTACCAATTTGTATTGTATGGGTGGGACTTACTAATAATAGCTCCTTTGAATTGGCCAAGACCATAGAATACATGAAAATTTATGGTAAAGAAAATGTAAGAGGTGCCCATTATTGTCAACTAATTTTGGATTCATCTGTTGATGATGATTTATATGATGTATGTTTTCAATGTGGTGGAAATTTTCAATTTGGTGGAAAATATCACCGAGCTAAAGGATGTAATAATTGCCCTGACTGTGGTAGTACGTACTATGCCTGCTGTTGCGATTATAAATGCACTCGCTGCAAAAAAGGAAATCATCTTCCCGTGGATTGTAGATTTAGCTGCACTAATTGTGGTGCACCTTGTCATGTAGCTTAATCGTGATTGGAGAAATCATTTTTTTTTACATTTTTTTATGATTAAACTTCATTCATTATTATTATTCTCGTAATAAAGTTCATTCATTTTATTTTTACTAACATATATACTGCACATATGATATATGTATATTGTATTAATTATCTTAAATATAAAATAAAGTATCTAAAAAATCTTATTTATATTTTGTTAAATTTTTTTTTAAAAAAACTTTTTTGCAATAAATATTATGATTCTAAAAATTGTATTTTAGTTTTGAAAATTTTAAGAAACAATTTTATATTATTAAAACAAATAAATAAAAATATAAAAAATTTTATATCATAATTATATCATAAATTTAAATATTTACAATATAATTTTTTATTGATATATAATAAAAATATTAAATAATTGAAAAATTTATTATTATTATTATTATTATTGTTGTTGTTATTATTAAATCAAAATCTTATTAAAAACAAAAATTTATAATTTTAGTTGAAAAATTTTATCATGTATAATTTTTTAAAATTTATTTTATTTTTTGATGGTTTTTTGAATTAAATTAAATTTAAATTATCAATTAAATATTAAAAAAATATAATTAAGATGTATTTAAAAAAATTTGATAATAATTATAATTTAAAAAATTTTATTTTTATCAAATTTTAAATTTTATAAATTTATAAATTTTATTATGTAATATTATTAAATAAAAAATTATAAATTAATATGAATCGATTAAATAGAATCAAAAAATTCTTATAGTTTTTATAAATTAAATTTAATATATACTGTTATGTCAATTTTTTAAAAAAATTTGGTATTTAAAAAAAGATTTAAAAAAATCCACAAAAAAAATAAAAATTTTATTTTAAATTTAAAATTAATTTAATTTTTTTTATAACCTATTAAAAAAATGATAGATTTTTAATATTAAAAATATATATCAAAAAGAATATGTATTAAAGAAAAAAACTTAATTATAAAATATAATTTTTTAATATCGTGTTTTTTTTTTCTTAATAATTTTAATCAAATAATAATTGTAATAACTATAATTTAATAATCCAATACATTTTAAATAATAATTATAACCATATTATTATATGCTACAATAATAAAAAAATTTTAAAATAAGTTTTAATACTGTATATTAAAAATAGAAATTAATATAATATTTTATTTCATTAATATAACAAATTTCTCAAATATAATAATAAAATAATAATTTTTTTTAACTATTTTAATTATTATAATTAAAACAATTATATTTAATAAGTAATTAATATTCAAGTTTAAATTATTTTTTATGAAAATAAAATATTATAATCAATTAATTAATATAAAAAATAAATAATAATAATATATATATATATATACAGTGTGTAACAAAACTTTTTGGAATTTTTTATTTATTCATTACTCAAAAACTACTACATAAAAATTAATAAAAAATATATCAAAATAAAGCTGAAAATCTAGAGATTTTATTAATATATAATTAATAATTAAT